CACATGTCTAAGCTTTCCTCAGTTATTTTAAATTTTTTGCAAACCCACTCATTCTGCCAAAGCCAATGGTGCAATCTTCACATTTGTAAATCTTACTGTTGTGCTTTATAAATATGCATTCTTTTTAAAGCAATGGCTTAGCCATGCCCCTGCTTTCAAATATCCCCCTAAGGGCTTGTTCACACAAGCGGTTGGGAGGTGGAAAAACCCTGGGATTGGGTTGTGGAAGTCTACCTTCCATTGTCAGGGCCCAAGGTGTGCTGCTGGTCTCCTCCTCTCCCCAAAGGACCCCTTCCCTAAAGAAGTCAAACGGTAGCCTGCACTGTCCCTTCTCACCTGGAACCTGTCCTTGATTCTAAATCTGAGGAAACTCCTCAGTGACACACATGGGACTATATGTAGTCTCTTTGCATCAAAAATGGTTGCCCAAATCTCCTTAGAACATTCTGTCAACATTTAACATATGCTCTCCCAAGATGGTGCCAAATCTCTTGAGAACTCTCTGTCAACATTAGACACATGCTCTCCCAAGATGGTGCCAGAAGCCTAGGACTGAAGGCACATTGGGCAAGCCTCCTACTAATGCCAGCGGAAAATGGCAATCATGTACTGCCAGCCAGACAAGGAAGTGATCACCAGATTGACGCACCACCAGGGGCGGACTGACAACTCATGGGGACCCTGGGCATTAGGGGATCATGGGGCCCCTGTGTCCTTGCCCAAACTCAAAAAAGCCTATGAAAAAGGTACCAGGGGCATCTCATGGGGGCCCCCTACTGACCCCAGGCCCTCGGGCAGTGCCTGAGTTTCCAAATGGTCAGTCCGCCCCTGCGCACCACTAAGCACTGCTGGTCCAACAGTGCGAAATATTTGCTCTTTGGTTGCAGTGATGGTCACCAGCCTATGCCATTTACCTACACACAGTTTAATTCCAGTTTCACAGCAGCTAGAGAAAAACTTGTTGCAAAAGAGTAGTTAAGTTGGTGTGCACTTCTGGTTAACATGGGACTTGTGGTGCTATGTTGGTTAAAAGAAAACACATTAAAAAAGACTGTATCACACTGAAATACAGAGCCCTAAGCAGCATAAGAATGAACTCATAAATCTTGAAAATATAATTACACTTTGGTATGTGTATGCGTCAGGATACAATTTCACTGCCAGAAAAGAATGGAAAATCATGTACATAGGTGTGCTCATGCCTGTAGGATGACCATCACTTAATCCTGTTGATTGAAGTTGGTTCTGGAAATGATGATGTGTCTATGGGCAATTTACAGTATCTGAAGACAGCCCCTGGCCAACCAATCTGGGGATTATCTGGGATGGATCTTTTTAGACAGTTGCTAGTGTTTGTAATACTGTGTCCTTGTATGGAGCAATGCATGACCAACTGTGCATTTAATGATAAGATGTAGAATTTAGTAAAGCTAGCCATACGCAGTTTGAATTTCATTTAATTCCTGCTGAATCGGCAGAAGTTCAAGCTGTGGTCTGCCCTATTAACACCATTCACCAGTTGATTTCAAAATTGAAGGAGCCAAGTGGTCAACCAATGACTGCGTCCAATCAGATGTCATCACTATTTGGATATTCGGTCAGCCACGGGTACTGTGGCTGTCTGAAAAAAATAGCCAGCAGTGTGGATTCCTCCATCCACAATGTTTAGCGCCTATGGCTAGCCTTAGGGCTTATGGTAAGATGGCCTGACTCATATTAAATGGTGGATGTGAATATTTGGAAAATTCATGAAACCTTGTATGACTCTGGTGTAAATGGACCCAGCACAGAATTCATTCCATGATTGCCAACATCCCAAACGTTGTATACCCAAAGGTGTGTTCCCCAACAATTTGAACTGGGACTTTAAAGGCAACCCACAAGAGATAATGTAGTTATATAAATTATTTTATTCAAAAAATAAAGAGACATCATAATTTAACACATAACACACACACGTTAAAAACATACATAACATAGCAAAAGAACTGTCTAAACAGTTTAAGACTTTTTTTTTTTTATGTACTTTTTTGAATGTGTGTTATGTGTTAAATTGTGATGTCTCTTTATTTTTGGAATACAATGATTTATATAATTACATTATCTGTTTTGGGTTGCCTTTAAAGTCCCAGTTCAAATTGATGGGGAACACACCTTTGGCTATACAACGTTTGGCATGTTGGCAATCATGGAATGAATTCAGTGCTGGGTCCATTTACATCAGAGTCATACAAGGTTTCATGAATTTTCCAAATATTCACATCCACCATTTAATACAAGTCAGCGCACCTTACCATAAGCCCTAAGGGCACAGCAAGGATTCTTACTGGTTGGCATGGCTTGTTTCGCATTGAGCATCGTCCACATAGTTTGCGTTTCATTGTTATATGATCTATCCACCTTTAGATGATCCCTGAAAATCCTTCTCTTCAAAGAAGCCAATCCTGCATCTAACTAATACACTGCTGTTACTTTCTCCATCAGCTCATCCCCCACAGCTATTACCTTTTGTATCACTTGACCCCACCTTTTAGATTGTAAGCTCTAACGAGCCGGGCCCTCTGTTTCCTCTCCTAGATTGTAAGCTCTAACGAGCCGGGGCCCTCTGTTTCCTCTCCTAGATTGTAAGCTCTAACGAGCTGGGCCTCTGTTTCTTCTTGCACCAAATTGTATTGTAGCTGTAATGTCTGCCATCATTCTGTAAAGCACTGTGCAAAGTGTTGCTCATTCACACCAACTGGGGTGCGTCGTGCTCCCCCTGCGCCATATGTATTCTGTACAATGCATTGCACTATTTATCTCTTTTGTAAAACTTTATTGCAATGTCACATAATAACACCACACTATGGTGGACTGAAATGAGGTTAGGTGAGTTGCACTGTGTAAAAATGCAAACAAGCTATATTTTAATGCAATGCACACCACTGTGCATGTATGGTGTGAAAAGGGTACACTGAAAACAATTGCTTTCTATAGTCCCTTGTGTTGAGCCTCTATTGATGTGTGCAGCTCAATGGATATGGTGTGAAGAAGCCTTTATTAACCACTTCCCGCCAAGCCAATAGCAATATGACAGCCAGGCGGAATTTTTGTCATGCCAATGACAGATCACTGTACCAGCCCGCTGCCCAATCACAGAAATCACATGACAATTGTAAACAATGAATGGCTTTGAATTATGCCATTCGTCATGTACAATTGTGTTGCTAGCTGTGAGTGGTCACAGTGATCACATGGTGATGCAGACAGGGCCAATCACAGCCCATCTGTACCATGTGATTAGCTGTAGCCAATCACAGCTTATCACAGCAAAACACGCCGAATGAATCAATTTTTGTCAGTAAAATGCTTGCTTATAGAAGTGAAATTCATAGCAATCATAATGTGTAAAAAAAAAAAATCCTGATCACTTCCCCAAAGTAGTACAATTTTACTATGGTAGCATTTTTTGCTCTAGTCATGGTGTGTTAAAAAAAAAAACCTGTAAAAAAAAAAAAAAAAACACTAAAATGTAATAAAAAAGTTTTTTCATACTGTCACCAGTCAGTGTCTCTGATCACTGCCACACTAGTTAAATGATGACATAATGGTGACAGTATGTAAAAAAAAAACACATTTTTTAATTTCTTAATTTTCCCAAAAATTATGACAAAATATACATCATAAAACTCACCATACCTCTTACTAAATACCTTTGAGTATCTACTTTACAAAAAAAGGGGTCATTTGGGGGATATCTGAACTGTCCTGGCATTTTTGACCCTCAAAAAATGAGGCCTTCAGTACATCAGGATTGAATTTCAGGTATATATCATAGTACATGGACTCTATAACTTTCCTACAGACTAAATAATAAACACTGATTTGGGTTATTTTCACCAAAGAAATGTAGCAGAATACATTTTGGCCAAAACTTATGAAGAGCAATTATTTATTTGCAAACTTTTACAACAGAAACAAAGAAAACACGTTTTTTTTTTCAAAATCTGTCTTTTTTCATTTATTTAGCAAAAAAAATTTAAAAAAAAAACCCAATGATTATTAAATACCACAAAAAGAAAGCTCTAAAATGATTCAAACTTAGTTTGGGTACAGTGTTGCATGACCGCACAATTGTGATTAAAATTGCGACAACGCTAAAAGCTGAAAATTGGCCTGGGCAGGAAGGGGATAAAAGTCCCCAGGATTGAAGTGGTTAAAGTATTGTTATTTACTTCATCAGGCCAGCATGCTTTTGTGCTTTCTGTATTTTAAACTTTTTTTTTAATTGTATATAACTGCTATTTAGACTTTTTTTTACAGTCACTTTAAGCTCAGTTTGTACCTTTGCTTGACTATAGTGCATCATATTTCAGCCGGTGCAAGACTAAAAATAAAATGCAAATTGCTTGTGTGTAGAGGAGAATTATACACATGATAGGGCATAAAAGTAGTGCATGACTACGAAATTGTCACAAAAGTGATTGAACATATCCTTAAAATGTTTATGATAATGTGACATTTTTGCTATTCGTTGTTCAATTTTATCTCAACCATATTTTCATATGTAAAAAAAAAGCCTTGTATGCATGCTTCAGGCTTACTTACTGGATTTAATGGATTCAGCCTCTTCTGTGCAAGACTTTAAATGCCTGAAGCTGATAGCAGATTGTAAACCTGATACCTTGATGCTGAAGGCAAGTTGATAGAGGGGGGGAACTGTAGAACAAGCCTCTAAAGGAAAAAGGAATTTGCCTCTCCCAGTTTCTAGCCAACATATAACAAACAGCCCAAGGGCTGCATAATTTCTGTAAGGACGGACTAAATCTGTCAGACTAGGTGGCAAACAGGTGTTGACCGGGCTGAAAGAAAAAAAAAAACTCCAGTAGGAAGCTCACTTTGAAAGTGAAACACCCACTGCAGTCTATATATATGTAGCGGCTGAAGATCAGACTCGGCATCTGCACTTTTTCCTTCTACCACATTTTCTAGGTCAGAGCAAAGCCACCAATACATCCACCATGTCTACCCGATTTAGCTCAGCATCCCATCAGTTTTCCAGCTCCGGCGGTGGCTATGGAGGTGGTTTTGGTGGTGGTAGCAGCAGCTATGGAGGTGGTTTTGGTGGTGGTAGCAGCAGCTATGGAGGTGGCTTTGCTGCAGGCAGTGGCTTTGGAGGTGGCTATGGCGGAGGCTTTGGTGGTGGATCCGGCGGTGGCTTTTCCTTCAGCTCTGGAGGAGGAGGAGGAGGATCCAGCAGCCTGGGTATGGCTGGTAGTGAGAAGCAGACCATGCAAAATCTCAATGACCGCTTGGCTTCCTACCTAGAAAAAGTCAGGGCCCTGGAAGCAGCCAACGCTGAGTTGGAGCTCAAAATCCGTGAGTGGTACGAGAAGCAAGTTGGTGTTGGTGTTGGCAGTGGATCCAAAGACTACAGCAAATACTATGACATCATCAACGACTTGAGAGGCAAAGTATGTTGCATTCTTCTTTTAAATAGAATTAAAACCTCATTAAGACTCTTAACAAAACAAATAGCTAATAGGTACTATTATTGAGTAAATCCAGCCTTCAGATCTAGTTAGATTGTAAATGCTAAATGCTTTGGAAGTGCCGTATGATAAAACTGCTTGATGCTAGGGTGAGCTTGAGGAAAGCTAGAATGCTGGACTGATGACAGCAGTAGATAACTGAAGACAGCTGCGACTTTTTTAAAATGTCAATCACAGTGGAAGTCTATGCCTAGCATACCTTACACTCAGAGAAACTATACTTTTCAATAAAAGTTTATGTTAGCATACCAGAACAGAATAGGTAGCAACCGTTATTTCCGGTGTACACTATTTTACTGACAGGCGAGGATGTTTATATTGTGTGTATATATATATATATATATATATATATATTTGTGTGGGTGCATTTAACCCTTATCTAATAGTACATAAAACGTACTTTGCAATCAAGAAAATATCTATGCTACGAGCTAAAAATGGAGTTTCTCCATCATGCCCCTATTGTGTTCTTCATCCATACATACACATTCATTTCTCCAGGGTCACATTATGTTTTTTTTGCGCAACACACAATGGGGTTTATTTACTAAAGCTGGAGAGTGCGAAGTCAGACTCCCTTCTGCATAGAAACCAATCAGCTTCCAGGTTTCATTGCCAAAGCTTCATTGAACAAGCTGAGGTTAGAAGCTGATTGGTTTCTATGCAGAAGGGAGTCTGATTTTGCACTCTTCAGCTTTAGTAAATAAACCCCAATGTGTCCTTTCCTCACCTTTCTCATAGTATACAAAACACATCAAAATAAACTGTCTTTCTTTGTACCAGATCCTGGCTGCCACTATTGACAACTCTCGCATTGTCCTACAAATTGACAACGCAAGACTGGCTGCTGATGACTTCAGACTTAAGTAAGTCAGTTTCATATCATAATTGCAAGTTAATATGGACTTCTATATATATTAGCTAGATTGAAAAAAGTATGTTAAGGTTATCCTTTAATCTTTAAATCCCTTTCGTCTTATGGGCGGTAAAAATATACCTATTGTTCTGTACAGCTTTCAAATTACCACAAAGTAAATGTTCTTTGATCCTTTAGAACCTGGCCACTCCCTACTTTGTAATTGTCCATTTTTGTCCATGTCCTTTCTGCTCATAACTAAACACCAGTTGGTATCATTTGTTGTGGAAACATAATACACTTTTTCATTCTTTTTACTATAAAGAAACCTTTTGCAAAGGCTATTTGTTGCACTTGTAACAGCAAAGGATGACTTCTTACTGGGTTGTAGTTGACCTCATGCGAGTTTAGGCCAGTGGTAGAAGTAGCACCCATTTATATAAGCTCCATCCAATTTTTCAAAAATGTGTCAAAATGCAATGGAGTTTATTTACTAAAGCTGGTTCACTCAGAATCTTGTGCACTTCTGCATGGAAACCAATCAGCTTCCAGGTTTTATTGCTTGTTAGAAGCTGATTGGCTACCATGCACAAATGCACAAGGTTCTGCGAGAACCAGCTTTAGTAAATCTCCCCCAATGTGTTCTAAAATAATCCTACATGTGATAGATATTATTTCAGCTGTATAGAGTTTTGAGGAAGTGCTCAGTGCTCATGTATCAATTTTAATGTGTTTTCCTTCTGGAAAAATGCTTTATTATTTTTAAAAAGTTGGGTGTATTGGGGCTGATTTCCTAAAATTAGAGAATGCAAAATCTGGTACAGCTGTGCATGGTAGCCAATCATCTTCTAACCTCAACTTAGCTTTGACCAAAAAAACTGGAAGCTGATTGGCTTCTATGCAGAACTACACCAGATTTTGCACGCTCCAGTTTAAGTAAATCGGCCCCATTGTCTTTAAATCATTGACTTCATCAGTTTAAATAATGTCTTTGTGCGTTAAAGTCCACGTCTGGGCTAATTTATTTATTTTTTTCAAAAAAGGTCCCCCAGCTGGTTAACAAAAAAGAACTGCTCTTTCTACAAAACTCAGCTCCTGTTCAGCACTGACCCCTATAGTATTTCTCCAGATGTCCTCAGTCTATTGTGTTAAATAACTCCCAGCATCATTCTACCTGGGAGACTAAGGACATCCTGTAAGTGGAAGGAGTTATGGACTCATCCCTTCATGGGTTATCACCACTGAGCCCTGCCTACAGTATATTGATAAGGAAAGCCTCTATGACTGAGGCCAGACCAGCATTGTTAGGCCCCATGCACACAGGACTTTTTTTTCCTCCCCTGGATGCCTATGCTCCAGGTGAGGAAAAAACAGCATACAAAATGTGCCCAAAGCATATTTCAATTACATTTAGGCACGTCAAGTGCTCAGGAATTTATACATTCCATTGGCCAGAATATTGATTTATTCTGGCAATTGGAATGAATGAATACTGAAGCACTTGACTCGCCTAGCGCTAGAGCACGTTTACATGCACTTAGGCACCTCAATCATTTTTTGATGCTTAGGCCCAGAGTTTTTTTATGTTGGGGCCTCTAAAGATCCAATATTGTCATTATTTGATAAGACATGGTCAATTTTATAGTATGGTAAATATTCGGCTCTTTGCACTGCTTGATCACAAAATGCCCAACAAAATCTCTCCAGATCCAGCTTGGTGTATTATAATCCAGTATGTGGCTCTTTCTAAATATTTGTTTTTTTCTAAGGTATGAGAATGAACTGGCTCTCCGCCAGAGCGTTGAAGCTGACATTAATGGCCTCCGCAAAGTCCTGGATGAGCTGACACTATCCAGAGGAGACCTTGAACTCCAGATTGAGAGCCTATCTGAAGAGCTGGCCTACCTCAAGAAGAACCACGAGGAGGTAAGCAAAAGGAGAATATACAAGACATACTGGTAGAAAATGGGGTCAATAAACCCAAAAAAAAAACTTTTGGTGGCAAGCACTAGTCATGTGGGCCACAATTATAGTCCTAAATGTACCCAATGCACACATTTATTTTGCATGCCAAAGTAGTGAGCTATACCAAGCTCTTGTGTTGGTCCAACTTCCTAGGAAACTCTCACCCATCATGCAGATTACCTTGTTACCAGTTGCTTGTTTGGTACCAGTCTGCCATGTACCAAGTATAACCCTGTTGACCATAAACATTTGTGATGAACTGATATGAACATATAATATATGTTTATGGTATGATTATTCTAAGGAATCTAAATAGTGATCATTCGGTGAAATGATCTTCCCATTGCCACCTCATGTCCATGGGTAGTATTATACTCAAACAAGCCATACATAATATGATTTTGTATGGTCAATTCAACAGGATTTATGTAATAGATGGGCCAATCTGAAACAATTATTTAAATCTAGCCGTTAGGCCCTGTTATTACATGGTAGTTGATAAAGCTGGTTAAATTGACAATCAGCCCTGTTTAGTCTATGGCTTTATGTCCCTCCTGTGACTTATTGAATGTCAGTGAGGTTCCATGATCTACTCTGCACTGGAAAAAAATAACTGAATTTGATTAGCTGCTAATGACAATAGCTCCATTTTTATTTTCTGCAGTCTTTAGAAACAGACAGTGTTATTCTTTTGGGCATTTGTTTTTAGAATCCTTCTGTTTTATGAATCATGGGAATGGATTTGATGTAATCTCTTTTTTACCAATGCTTAGGAGTTGCAAGTTGCAAGAAGCAGTGCTGCTGGCCAGGTCAACGTAGAGATGGATGCTGCTCCAGGTGTGGATCTCACCAAGATTCTGAATGACATGAGGGCTGACTATGAAGTTCTGGCTGACAAGAACCGCAGAGAAGCTGAAGCATTGTTTTCACAGAAGGTAAGGAAAATGTTTGCCAGACATTGAACTGCCCATACCCATACAGATCCATCCATTGGTGGATAAAGATGTCTTTGTCAAGTAATTGCTTACTTAGAGTCAGCACTGAGATACTGAGGTCTAATGCAACTCCCAACTAGTGTGTCAATACAAAATACATAACAAGAAAATACCTACATATTAATCAAGGAGTGTAGTTATTATGCCAATCTTTCCATCCTGAATAATATCCTGGCCAGATATTGTTTGGCAAAGAGAATGTGTTGCTCTATACTAGTCTTTCTCAGTCAGGGTTCAAAAGTTCTACTGTCAAGGAACTCCTATCAACCTTTGGAGGAACTCCAAAGGTTGAATATTAAGGAACCCTTATTCAGGAGGAACCCCCAGTGGATCTTGATTAGTAAGCAAACCCCATTCTTTAATCTTTTATTTCAAACTTTCTACATCCTACTGATCACTCTACTGCACCATGACCTGTAGGTCTAATCATATTAGTGTTCAGGGGTTCCTTCACAATTTGAGATCATCAACCAACTAAGGGCTCTCTTTGGTCTGTATGTTTAGAAGTTTAAATTTGAATAACTAAAACTGACAATCAGAAGTAACGAAAACACAATATTTCACCATTTTAGAGCGGTGAATTGAAGAAGGAAATTTCAGCTGGTGTGGAACAGGTGCAGACAAGCAAGAGTGAAATCTCCGACCTCAGACGTACCCTCCAAGGCTTAGAGATTGAGCTGCAGTCTCAGCTGGCAATGGTAAGTCAAGAAACTAAAATACTGAATAAATTTGAACATTTTAAACACACAGGGAGTTATTTACTAAAACTGGAGAGTCCAAACTCTGGAGCAGCTCTGCATAGAAACCAATCAGCTTCCAGGTATTATTGTCAATGTTTCATTGAACAAACTGGAGTCAGAAGCTGACTGGCTGCCATGCACAGCTGCACCAGATTCTCAGTTGTAATAAATCTCCCCCACAATGTAACCTGACAAGAAAAAAAAATGCACAAAGTAACAGCAAAACATGTTTCCCAAATTGATAACTAATGTTCTTAAATAAGAATTAACCCATATGCCAGGCTAGAGTTTATAACGGTCTGAATTTATTGAGTTTTCAGATTTGATTAAACTCTGCCTGGTTATATGACCATGCACCTCACTTAACTTATATAGGGGGAACAGACAACTCCTGCCACTCTTATATTGGCCAACAGTTTTGGAAAACAACAGGGAGAATAAAGCATACCTAAAAAAAATATATACAGTATATATTAAAACTACTGTATTGTAGCTTACCAAACAATAGTCATGACAGCTGCATTCATTTTTTTTCCCTTTATTTTCATATGGTAATCTTCCAAATAACAGATTTTCTGTCCTAGGGTGACAACACTCACTCATCATATGGTATTTATAGGGGAGCAGCTTAGCCACCCTAGATTTGGACTAAAATACCTCCCCTCTGCTTTTCTCCATTATATAGAGGGTGTTGCTTTGCAGTTCACAGATAGATGAAAAAGCTGATAACATTGCTTAAGATGCCTGTTCAGTCCACAGAAAATTATAAGACACAGGATTTCTATCAGGATAAACAGGTACATTTCAGAAAATGTACTTAGCCTAAAAAATAAAGATAATGAATGCTGCCGACCGAATTTAGATCCATCTATAGCCAGTTTAAGATCTGCTTTGAATTTACTCACAAGTTGCTAAAGGCAAAGCTAAATAACAGAAAAATCAATGGGACAACATTGTAACCAAGACAGGAGCAGGGGCAGACTGACAACTCATGGGGCCCCTGGGCAATAGAGGATCATGGGGCCCCTGTGTCCTTGTCCAAACTCAAAAAAGCCTATGAAAAAGGTACCAGGGGCATCTCATGGGGTCCCCTACTGACTCCGGGCCCTCGGGCAGTGCCCGAGTTTCCAAATGGTCAGTCCGCCCCTGGACAGGAGTTAACAGTGAATCTTCAAAAGCAATGAAAAAATTTGACTGAAAAACCCAAAAGGAGTTTTAACATTTTGCACTCTATTAACAACTAAAAAAAAAATTTACTTTAGATATACTTATCTTCCAATAAATGTTCTCATTTAGGTGGAGTAGACATGTTACAGACACCCTCCCTACATGTGTGGTGTAATGCCCCTAAAAAGTACACTCAAAAGGGCCAATTCTGATCCAATAGTGAATCAAAACCCAGAACACCTAAAGGAAAATTACATAAAGAAAACACTGGAGAAGCAAACTACATGCAGTCTCTTGTACTCTCCAACTGATGCAAACATTATTTAGACTGGTCATATCACCTTTGGATCAGTTCTGGACTTATAAGAGAGCAAATGGGACAACTGCCCTGGGCCCACCTTACAAAAGGGCCCCAGTCTATACAAATATTATATAAAACAATATATAAAATAATAAACAATAAATAATGACAAAATAATATAAAATGTATAATAAAAAATTCTTTAATTTATTAAATGTATCTTGGGAAGTAATATTTTGCCGGCCATCTTGTGTAAAATCTTTTCCTCTAGACTGGTATAGCGAATCATTTTTAACAAATAATTTTGGCCGTTCAAGAGAAACCACACGTAGAGTGCTATGACTGCATGTGTGTGTGCATGCGTGACCTCAGAAGGACATTGTGTCATGCATTTTAAACATTTGTGACTGCCACTGAGAATTTAAACCAATTTTGTGTATAAGGACAACTCCAACCCCCCAACCCCCCACCCCTGGTCCTGAAGTGCTCCAGGCCCTAAATCTTGCCCTACTCTGGATAGCAAAAAACTGTAATGTTGTAGTTTGCTTGACAGCAGATTGTGTGTGTATTCATTTTTTTACAAAGAGTGTTACGCAAAATGATCTATTAACAAATACCAGTTGTTAACTATAAAGTGAAAAAGCCTTAAAGATTTTTTTTTTTTCTGTGAAATTTTAGAAAAAAATCCCTTGAAGACACCCTTGCAGAAACAGAAGGCCGTTATGGATCACAGCTCCAGCAGCTCCAGCTTGTCATCAGTGGATTAGAAGAACAGCTCATGCAGATCAGAGCAGACATGGAACGCCAGAACATGGAGTACAAAGAGCTGCTCGACATCAAGACCAGACTAGAGATGGAAATTGAAACATACCGTCGCCTGCTGGAAGGAGAACTAGGGTAAGTGCAGGAAATGAAATGTTACTATTTTTGCATTTTGGTTAACACAGATAAAACCGTATCGAAGTTCTAATTTTATGGGAAGTTTTAAAAGGTATATTTGGTATCTAACTGAGTTATATATAGAGCTTTTAAACCTGCACTCCAGCACTCCCATTCAGTAATTCCTCTCTGCCGCTTGATGTCTTTAGTGTTCTGGTATTTAACCTGGAGGACTGAAGACATCCTAAGAGTGCAGGATGTCATAAGGGAGGGAACGTCACCACAGTACTATACATATAGGCAATACATCCAGGCTTGACTTTTACTGTCTTTTCTTTTTGAAATTTTAATATTGCTCAAAAAAATGAATCATGAACTTTTCTTTTCAAAGTCAATTCTCCAAGAGCTCTTCTTCAGTCTCAGCAAGCTCAGTAAGCAAAGTAAGCTCAGCAGGCTCAGCAGGCACAGCAGGCTCAGCAGGCTCAGGAGGCTCAGCAGGTTCAGCAAGCAAAGCTGCCTCCTCATCATTATCCACCTCACAGGTTTCCTCATCGTCCACATCAAAATCACAGACATCTTCTGTAGATTCCAAAAAAGGTAACCTAACAATATAATCCCAGGTTGATGCTTGCTAACAATATAAACATGCTCATAGCCATGAAATGATCTCAATCTGGTCTTGTCAAAACTGGCAAAAGCAGTTGATGATTAGGTTGCTTATGGGCTACCACAAGCTTCTCCAGACAGCATTAGGAGACTAATATTTGATAACGTGGCAGCTGGTTGAATTTTATTCTTTATTTGGTAGGCAATTAGTACCCCATGAAAAAACTCTAGGTTTCAGGACTTGGTGGATAAATTAGGGTTTCATGAAAAGTTGAACATTATTTTCTAGCCAAAGGCTTGAACCATATTGGCAGTAAAATCAGGAAATCACTGGGCATTTGCTTTGCTAGCTGTAGCTCTTCCTACAAGGTGGAACTTTGCCGGGATGAATAAATTCAACTCTTCAGGCAGTTTAGGCTCAGCATCGGAGTGACAGAGCATTGGTTTGCAATGAAACATCAATAGCCATTGTCAAATGTCCTTTTATAGAAGCTGAAGACCACTTACACTTACACCACTTACACAAATATGGTCTTGAAGGAGAACTAAACCATTCTATCCTTTACAGCCAAGGAAGCTGCCATATTAGCCTTTGTTTGATCTGAGGTTTCCATGATGCTGTGCCTGTAATCAGCTATGACCCAGCTATTTGATGGGACTTGACAGTTTGGTTAAGAGTAAACATAAGCACACTGGTTCAACTCTTTTGAGAAACAGTTAAATTGGTTGGTTTATTTCCACTCTCAGGAATTTTTTAGGAGCATTCTATATGGCATTAGGTGTATATGTAATTGTAACAACACAATCCAACATCCCTTTATACTTTGCTAGGATGTTGTTGCAGCCTAGCCAAATGTTTTTTTAGGTGGCATATGCAAAACCTCAGTGAATCCTTGCTAGATGCATGCAAACGACCAAACCAAATGAGTATTTTGGAAAAAAACGTGACATCATTTGCAGACAGAACATCTATAATAATACATCTAACTGATCTTTATTTCAGATCCAACAAAAACTAGAAAGGTGAAGACCATCGTTGAAGAAGTTGTAGATGGGAAGGTCGTGTCCTCAAGGGTGGAGGAGATTGAAGAAAAGATGAATTAGAAAGAAAAGCCATATTGAAGGAAGACCACTTTGTGTACATGAAGAGGTGGTACTGGCTTGTGGAGGGACACTTTAACAATTCTTTTGCTACAAATTAATAAGACATGAAGTTGTTTCTCTGTTTGATTCAATAAAGCCTTTCTTGCATCTCACTCAACTTGTGACGTCTTTTGGTTCAGAGGTAATATGTTCATATAACATAACATATTCATTGTGGTGCATTATGATAAAAAGTAATATTATATCACCAAAAAACATATGAGTTTTAGGTGCAATCTAGTTGTCTGAGTCATCTGGTTGCTTTTTGTACCTTCTAGGGCATCTTTGGTAATATCTCCCCAACATACTGCCCAGCTTGGCTTCTATTCACATTGGAACCTCATTCCTTCCATAGCATTCTTGATAATATTAAATATATTAAAAATCCAACAAGCAAAGTACGCTTCACCCAGTTGTCTCAGTCTCCCAGGGACTACTTATAAATTCTTGGAACCACTGGAGCAAGTACCCAACTTCCTGGTTGTTCCACACATTGCCCCTACACACCTTGGAGTTTCACTGTTCCAGCTGTCATGGCTGTTTCCGCTCCTTCTTTTGCTAATTTCAGTATGATAAAAATAAACTAAAGTTGAAAACCAGTGAAAAAGCCAAGTGAAAACTATTTCCTATCATGATAGTTTCTCCATAAACATGGATTGGATAGTGGTGTTGGCATACATGCTACATATATTCCTTTTTATTCTTATTATTAGTATTTAGGCTATTCTCTTTTGGTGTTATGAGTTGGACTCACACAGATGGCGAGCACAGATGCCCGGATTCTCTTCATAGACTGGGTAGGTACAATCTTAATTAAAGGCAGTCTTTCTCAACCTTTTTACCATAGAGCAAACCATTGAAATAACAATCAAGCCTCAGGGAACTTCTGCTCAAAATTATGTCTACAGCTAGTGGTACATTAGAGGAAACCATTGAAATAGAGGAAACCATTGAAATAACCAGCAAGTGTCAGAGAACTTCTGCTCAAAATTATGTCTACAGCTAGTGGTACATTGGAGGAAACCAATGAAATAGAGGAAACCATTGAAATACCCAGCAAGTGTCAGAGAACTTCTGCTCAAAATTATGTCTACAGCTAGTGGTACATTAGTGTGATCAGTGAGTCTTAGACATAGTTACAAACAGAAAAATAAAGAATGTGGTACACTTGGTGCATGTTACACCTAGAGAGGGTACATTTTAATACTCTCCCAAAAAGTACAGAAAAAATGCAGACAGTGAAAATTGTGGTGTTCATTTACATTGGTGGTCAGTAAAGAAATGACACCTTATATTGTTTGTTAATGTAGTACTCTCTTAAATTGGTGGTCAGTACAGAAGGGTTCTCCTGCATTGGTGTTCATTTAAAAGGGAACTCCCTTAAACTAATGATTGATGAAGGATGCCCACCTACACTGGTGGTCAGTGGGAAGAATGCCCTATTACATTGGTTTTCAGTGCGAAGAATGCCCTATTACATTGGTAGTTAGTGAGAAGAATGTCCTATCCATTGATGATCGGTGGGAAGAATGGCCCTTACAATGGTGGTCACTAGGTCCATGCCACTAGCTCTGGCTCTGCCAAGTGTCATTGGTGTAGAACTATACAATCCACCACTGCTCGCTGGACACAAAAACCCCAGCAATCTTTGAAGGAAACCCAATTTAGAATGGCTAATTCAGGGAATAACCATTGGTTTTATATTGGACCAGTACACTGATGGTGACAGAGAGAAATTATTCCAGAGGAATGACAAGACAGAAACTGGACTGTGGTTGGCAAAAGAGGGTACGTACATAGAAGAATTAACTGGGGACTTTATGTAATCAGAAAAAGGCTTAATTGAGGTACAGAGATCATTATAGTATATGATTGCTGCATGGGTGTTTGGAAGAGTTTGTTAGCTGGATAACACGTTAATAGGTGAGGCTAGGGTTCAGCATCATATTTATGTTGAGACCTATATTAAAAACTAGGAAGCACCACGACAGCTAGTCTTGCATGCATGGCTTTGGCCTTAAAATAAAGCCTATTAAGGATAGTGGGACCCATCATTAATTATGCAATAAAAATTTAAAACGTTGATTGTTAGAGTTTTCATCACTGGAACCCGTGATTGACATAGAAAATCAACAAGTGACTTCATCCTCCAGGACCCACCAAACACTGGAATGGCTTAAGCAGTAAATATGTTAGGAATAAGATATAGGTATAGTTCTAGACAGAAATGGAAGAGATTTGGAAAAACAACCCAGAACCAGACCGATGTATTTTTTTTAAATGAATGAGACTCATGGGGGTTTATTTACTAAAGCTGGAGAGTCCAAAATCAGACTCCCTTCTGCATAGAAACCAATCAGCTTCTAACCTCAGCTTGTTCAAAGAAGCTTTGGCAATGAAACCTGGAAGCTGATTGGTTTCTATGCAGAAGGGAGTCTGACTTTGGACTCTCCAGCTTTAGTAAATAAACCCCATGGTGTCATGACAACTTGGGACCCCATCCATTTAAAGTCAAATTGAAGCTTTGCTACTGTAATACAATTTGGCTTCATGAGCAGTAATACATGTGAGTTTTGTTTTACTTTTTTTACTGTACTATTGTGCCACAGCTTGCTAGCAGGGGTTAGTTCCCCTTTTAGGAAGACTTCTCCCCCTGGGTGAAGTAGTCCTCGATAATCTGAGCTGGAAGAGCCTGAGGCAGAGGGTGAGAAGCTACCCCCACTGAACCCTTTGAGTAGGCCAAGAACAGGCATTGTTGGTGAACCCACCTCTGGGGACCTAGAGTAAAGACAATGGAAGAGTTGGGCAGCTATTTCATGGTAATCTTGGACTTCTGTGCAGAATATTTCATGTCGAGCCAGTAGAGGGTGGAGTTGAAGATGTGATGATCAAGATCTGTTCATTATGTCTCTGTAACAGTAAAATCGCTAAAAGGCTGAATGTGTGGACTTCATTATTTCTGGAAGAGAGCCTCAGGCATGGAGTATGAGGGTGACCAAAGATGACAGAATTTCTCCATGTTTAAGGTGAGTGTGTACCCCATCTTATTCCTAAGCAAGAATATGGTGGGAGGGGCCCTTGTCCAGCTGGGTCTTTGTTGGTAGCGAATCAGGGTTCTGATTACACTTGGCATAGTTGGTATAATGGGTTACATCATTGCTTGGAGAGGATGTGTCTGCCTTGCCAGTTGGAGCAGTAGCAGAAGGCAGAACTAAGAAAGAAGTGGTTTAAACGTAGGTGTGGGGCATTGCATTTGTCACACTCAGTGTGTGTGAACAAAGCACAGCGATGTACTGTATAATCTGCCAAAGAAGAAAGTTTCGGAACAGGGGGGGTTACACTCTCGTTGGTGGTGCCTATCTACAGGGGAGCAACAGTAGATACAGGAGTGTGAATGGTGCTGCGAAAGGGGTTTGCCCTATGTTGGTATGAAATGAGGGAGACACTGGTGTTAGTGTGTCCTAACTTTAATTAACTGATGGCAAAAATCGTACCCTGGGCGCACTGTGCTAGGTGTCATGCCTTTCTCTTTGATGTACTCCCTGACCATGAGCAACCACAGGATCTGCAACATCTATGGGTGCCAAAATACATGCAAATTCTTGTTGGTTACTCTGCTACTATAGGTGAGTTTCATCGGTGCTATACTGAATGCAATTATGGCAGGCATGTTTATATGGACAAGGCGGTCCTGTCCTGGCCTGGAGAGGATGATTTACATTAATATGTGCTCAAACAGCATCCTGTTACTGGGGAATCAAGGGACTTTCCTAACCCCAGTTATTACAGAACCAATGTTGGTAATTTGTTTGCAATGTGTACTTTTTATTATACAATTTGTAACTGTTCAAGCCATAGGCCAGGTATAACACTTGTATATTATGCATTACTATTATTTTTTTCTATGATGTATACAGTATATTTTGTATGATAATCGTTAATATTTAGAGCCATTTTGAAGCCGCACCTTAACTCCTGTAAAGCTGTTGTACCCTTGGCACAGGGACAAGCCAATGTTAATAGGGGAAAGCCCTTCCCATGGGTGGGTATGTTGGATGGGGCTAGTGTATTCCTTATTAATCTGAGCCAAAGTGTCAGGGCTCCAGGTATGACCAGAGGTGTGTGGACTGACACAGGGAAACGCAGGCTTCAGGTATAGTGTAAATAAGACAATTTATTGAAGACTAAACAACACAAAAGCAGTGCAAGGTAAACATAACACAGTGCAAACAACCCACACCCAACAGATAACCATATATACAATCAAACGTAGTCGGGCAGGCCGGGTCGGTAGCAAACGGGCAAACAGGGTACCAGGAACGAGCGGAAGAGTGGTCAGGAATAGCCGAGGTCAGGACAGGCGGAGTTCGTTCAGAGTCAGGATCAAAGCAGGATCAGGAAGGAAGCAGACAGGATGCAGGTACAGGGCTCATGGGAAACATACACCAAGGCACTGACTGCAGGTCTGGCCATTCCTTAAATACACCTCCTGCAATCAGCCTCAGGTGATGCTGACTGCAGGAGTGAGCTTCTGGTTGCTGAGAGCACCCGCTGGCCAGCCCTGGTACTGCAGCCCACACGGCAGATAAGTCCCACCACTAAGGGTGAGTCCATTCCTGACACAAAGGCAGAGGGTGATGGGAAGAGGCTACTCTGGTATACTGTAACATAAGCTTGTAGTCTTAGGAAGTGAACCCTTTGGGGTAGGCCTGGATCAGGCGCTGTTGGAGAGCCCACCTATGGGAACCTACAGCAAGGACAATGGAAGAATTGGATGGCTGTTTCATGTTAGTATTGGATTTATTCTGTGCATAATATTTGATGTCAAGCCAGAAAAGGGTGAAGGTGAAAGATGTGTGATGATCAAGATCTGTTC